CGCATACGTGAGCCTCATATGTGAGCCCTCTGAGCCCTGGAACTGCAGGGTGTGTGCAGCAGTTTTCTTATCCTTTTCCCTTGTGTTTTTGTTAGTGTTTAACTAGTTCTCTTAATCAGTTACTGTTCATCCCCGCAGGTAAATGTCTAATAGCATACTGGGTAAGGGTCAGAATAAACATTGTTCTCAAATAGGAATTTTCTTTTCTTGTATTTTAAGGGGTTTCCTACTTTTAAACACCATGTGATTTTTAGAAGGAAATTAGAAAGTGGTTTCCATAAGGGGAAATGAGTTAAATGCATTCATTTATATGCCTCCTCACTCACAGTATGTTTCTAAAGACCTTATTGTTAAGTTTTTAGACCTAAGGGTCACCTGCCTGGAAAACTGCGTTTACTTTTTTTTTTTTTAAGACTAGTTGTCTGTTTTTCCTGGAGTTAAACATTGCAAATTAACGTTATGGGGGCTTTTCTTCTACCTTTCAAGTAGAGATCTAATTGCACTTTAAACTTGAATCAGTTTCCTGTTAAAGCAGTAAATATAACTCAGAACAAACACTGCTTTTGGAAGTTATTTTTTAAAAAATACTTTTTACTTTTTAAAATGCTTTTCTAAATATAAATATTCTATACTTACACTTACCTATGTTACATTTAGGATCATTGTTTCATTTTGTATTCTTCATTGACAGAAACTTAACTTTGAATACTCTGTTTCTTTCTAAGCCTTTTGCATTTTATAACTTTCTTTGTCATCACAGTAGCTGGTCCTGAAAGAGATCTCTGCTGCCATTCTTCACAACTACATTTTATGAATTTACTAGTCCCTTCTACTAAGTAAAACAAAATATGCTAAGAGCCAATCTGAAGTGTGCTATGACCCCATCACTTACAACATATGTCATCAAATCAGATGTAGACCCCTCAGCAGAAGAGTGCAGACGTCATCCATCTCACTGACGAAATCTCAAATAGTGTTAATATCATTGAACTCATCATTGTTACCATTTTTAAATATTTTCTATTTCCTGTTCTAAAAATGATGAGCATTTAAAGATTTCTGGTCCATGAAGTGGTCTAAAGCTTTAAAAATATGGCTGGAAGAGCCGTTGATCAGATCTAGTTCCAGAAAGATCCCTTTCCTTTTCCCGATCTTAGAGACTGTTAAAAATTGCTAAGCTTTTGTCTTATTTTCACAATAATAACAATTGACCTACACCTGCAAGGTTGTAGAACCAGCATAGGCTAGAGATTATGAATTTGGGAGAGAAGGGCATGGGGGTCAGAAAGAGGACAAGGAATGTAACGTGTCCAGCTCTCAATACCGGCCAGTGCCTCATTTGTTAATCTGGGTTGTGATTAAATATCATTTTTAGTGTGAGGAGTGCATTGTGCTGACAGCAGCTAGTTCTCGAAGGAAGTAACTGCATGCATTAAAAATGTTCCTCTTCTAAAAAAAAAAAATGTTCCTCTCCTAGAAGCACTGATGAAGCATTTGAAGCACACAGGATGTTTAAGTTGCAAGCCTGGAAGAACTCTATATTTCTTATCCATACCTTTTTTAAAGTATCAAAAGAGATAGTATCCTGAAGTGTGAAGTTATTGAGATGATGCCTTATTAGATAATGTAATTGAATTTTATGGTGGTCTTCAGCTATTACAGATAAACTCCTATCTAATAAAGATAGACTTTGAAGGAGGTTTGTGAGGTTGATGGGAATATTATCCTCTTAGAGTAAGGTGCACCTACTTTCCTCAAAGCATAATCCCGTAAGACAACCCCACTCGCCACAAATAGCTTTTGCTCCTTAATACTGTCGATTGCCACTTCATTTTCATTTTTCTTATTAATGCTAGATTGGTTTCTTGAGAGACTGTGATACTGCTTTTATCCAGGTTGATTATTCCAGTGCAATTTGATGCTGCTTTCTGGGTAAAATGCCATGAGCAAAAAGCAGTTCATTTTCTTAACTGTCTCCTGGATTTCCAAAGTTAGAAGGTGCTATTAAAGAATTGGCCTCATATCATGCATTCACATGCAGCTTGGTTTTTCATATTTCCCTCTAAATGATGATGTGTACATAGACATAAAACATGTATATGAAGAATAGTTGTAATGGGAACACAGTTAGTAACAAGGGCTCAGATCACATCACCAGCGTTCCAGAACCCCCTGACCATGTGCTCCACCAGATGGTGACCCCCGCCCGCCCACTCTGGGTAGCTAGGTTACTGTCTCAATTTTGTGTTTTTCTTCTCTTTGTAGTGGACTCACTTACCTTTGTCTCCTAAAACAATATAATTAAGTTTCCCTTTTTCTCAACTCCTGTGAATGGAACCCTCGAGATGCCCTGCTGTCACTTGTCCTCTTTGACACAGCCTTGCATTTGGGAGATCTGATCCGTGTTGTTACCATTCAGTCCAATTGAAAAAAAGTTTTTCTACATTTGCCTCTCTCCTTTTTCTACTTAGGATTCCTGTTACTCTAAACTGTTTTTGGTTATTTCTACTTTGCCTTCTCGGATTTTCTGCTAAATGAAGTCTGAAGATTAAAACTTGTCCGGACCCCTGTTTTCTGACCTGACCTGCCTTCCCCCAGTCTGGCAGCGTTTGTTTAGATGAGACTACATCTTTAAGGCTTCTGTGCTCGGTTAAAAATCTTCCTTTCTCCAAGGCTGGTCCAAGGGTCTGGTCACATGATTCCAACAGTGACATCACATTTTGACCGCCGGGAGCACTGGTTTGTTCCTATGAAAGGCAGAGAATGCAGCAAGTGCCCTTCTATAAAGCAGTTCGTACTGGGCGCCTTCTGTAAAAGCCTCAACCTAAATGACTCAATGCGGGCTGCCAAGGTTATTTCTTCCTTGAGGCAGAAAAAAAGAAAGCTGTGATTGAAGGTAAGCAGACTTAAGCCTGGCCAAGGACTGAAGTGTGACCCCAGGGAGAAGGGGGTCTGGAGAATCACAAGCAGTCTGTTGTCGGATTCTAATCACTGCCTGCTCTTTTAGAGCTGCTGACAATTTGCGTTTATAACAGGAGACTCTTAGAAAGAAGGATGATGTGGTGCTCATGTTACCTAGTGATGTAATAGGATTCTTTCTTTCCTGTTGGGAAGCTGTTGCAGATCTTCATTTTGTCTTAATACCCTTTAGACTGGGGGGCGGGGGGGGGTGCTCATTTGGTATGTAGTGTAACCTTAGATCGCTATTGGGTGCTTTTAAAAATCAGTTTCACAAAATCCTTTTTTAATTTCTCCTAAAAGGAGAACTCATAAACCAGAGCAAATTCGGCTGAAGCAGAACCTGCCTTCAAAAGTACTATCTGCTTGGTTGGTGTCCTGTGCTCATGTCAGCATTTGCTTTGAGAATTGAAACAGCTCTCACCACCCCCTCACCCCCCCCCCCAAACTCTGTTCTCTTTCTGCCCTCATTTCGTAGCTGGTCTTTTCCCTCCAAGCTCTCACACAATGCACCAGCATTAATCTTTATCAGTATGCCACTGACAGGATAGGAAATGCAGGGCTTGGTGATTCAGCAGCCAACCATTTTACAGCCAGGTGAGCTGGAAGATATGGAAAGGACTTTGGTTTGGGTTTGAAGATTAACTTGTTCACCTCCTCTACTCCACCCCCACCCCACCCTGGCCTCACTGATTTGAATTCTGCAGAGCTTTTCCTTTCATTTGTGTGTGTGGCTTGTGGAAGGCATGTTGAACTAGGCATTCAGACGACTTCTAATGTGGAAACAGGTACAGCTTGGGTGTTAATGCTGACTTACCCTTTGAGAGTGCTGAAGTTGTCAGGAGTTCAGAGTGAAGATGGGGTGCAGATGGAGGGAGAGGGGCTCACATCAGGCCCACTTTGATCTTCTTTGCAAAGGGATTCATTACCATGCAGTCTGGGTGAAGCTTCTCCCTTGCCAAGGTTGATGCAGTAAATGTAAGCTTTGGTCAGTTGAACTCAATGATAACATTACTCTGCATTTTCCATAGCGTATATTTGCAGAACTTCCTGATTGCAGTGTCACATTTTGTGTTTAATAGCAAAATACTGTTCTGTCAGAGGATATTATGGAAATAAACTGAACACGTTTATTAAGCAGTATTAACCTTGTGTGAGTATGACTTCTGAATTCAAATACAATCTCTCCCCAACAATTCAACAAACTTCAGTTCCGCTGAGTTTTATTGTGTTTGAATATATGCTGGACTCTGAAGACCGCAATAATGAATCAGATATGGGGCCACCGCCAGAGCTTCTAGTCTAGAAAGAAAGATAAAACACTAGTAATTATAATAGGAGTGTTAGGAGTGAAACAGATAAAGATCTGGTTGGGTAAATGGATGTTTTTTTCCAGTTGAAAGATCAGTAAGGACATTTTATCTTTGAGCCACCCACTGTTCTTGCTGGTCTTTAAATTTCTATTTGTAAATCTCAGATTTCTCAGACAGACTAAAAGTTTCTAAAGAGCCAATACATCAGTGATCAAAGTCTTCCACCTACCAAAGGGAAATTTGTATATTTTAGCCAGGTTAGGTCTTAAAGAGGCTGACCTGCTTCCTTTGGAGATCCCACTGAGGCAAAAGTCACTGCCTAGAACTGAAGTGTACTGACTTAAAAGCGTAGAGTGGTTTCTGAGGCATATGTGGGCCTTTGACCCTGTTGTCCCCCTTCCAAAACAGAAACTGCAATCCCTGTGCTGCCGCAAGCGCCTGTCTGTTGTTTCATAAATCCCTCACTTGTGTCAGTTCTCCCTCTGTACTGTCACTGTCATCTGTCCCTTTCCATCCGCACTGCCCTTAGGGTGCTCACCGTTTTTTTGTGCCTACCCCCAGGAACCTCTGAATGGGATGGGTGTTTCCACCTGGTGAGTTGTTCCTCTATCAGTACCCCTAACTGTAGTCAGCTGATAGTTTAAGGGCTCATGTTATGGTGCTCAGAAATAAGGCCTTAAAGAGAGGTCAGTGTCTGAAGTACTAATGTCTGTTTCCTGTTCAATACAGAGGACAAGTCATACAATGGTGGAGGAATAGGTTCTTCAAATAGGATAATGGACTTCTTGGAGGAACCAATCCCTGGTGTGGGAACCTATGATGATTTTAACACAATTGATTGGGTGAGAGAGAAGTCTCGGGACCGGGATAGACATCGGGAGGTAAGTTGAAAAATGGTATGTGCGCGTTAGGAAATACCAGGGAAGGAAGTTAAGGGTGTGTGTGTTTTACATGTCTACTGGCAGGGTCGGGCTCAGCATCTTGTTTCTACCAGCAGTGTAGACTTTTTTATGTTTATTGTTAAGGCATCTGGTATATGACTTTTAAAAGCGTTTATATTTAATGATGAGTATTCTTCCTATGGTAAGTGGTTGGGTCCTTCTAGCCTTGAAATGGGTATAAATGCAGAACGGTGAAAACAAGCACTCATTGGAGAGACCCAAAGTAAGTTTCAAAGATCTTCCTTCCCTAGCTCATCTTCCTTGTATGGGTTTCCCTTGACACAGAGCTTTTACAAAGAAGAAAAGTGCATGGGCTCCTTCTAAAAGAATACAAGAAAAATTCAGTGTCCTGTGCTTAGTGAAGCATACAGGGTAAACGCTGTGTGATTATTATAACTCTCATTAAACCATGAAACCAAAGCAAATTTGTGCACTCAACCCAAACAAAACCACAAAACCAAGCACATTCAAATTAAGGACATTAATTTAATATAATATACAGCTGTGGCACAGATTCATTTGAATTTGGCAACAGAATTTCCCCACTTTCCTCCTTTCAAAGTACTGTGAACACGTTAAGCTGTTGCTGTATATCATTTCAATCACGGAATCACAGTTTTCAGCTTGTGTCGGAGCCACATGGAGAGCTCCTAGGCCCTGCTCCGGGGCTATTCAGTACGTGATCTCCTAGGAAGAGGTGTCATCAGCCAATAAGTTGGCATTCCTTTTTCTTACTATTTCTATGATTCCAAATTTCAAATTTGATTTTTAAGTTGACGCTGTTCTCTTCAGAGAAGTTGGTTTTAGATCTCTTTATCCTTAAGTCTTCCCCAGCACCTGACTGGTTTTCTCAGGACCACCTGAACCAAGGAGTCAGGTTGTCCCAGCTACAGGCTTTAAGAGATGCCTGTGTGGTCCTTGGATTTGTGATAATCCCAAGGAGCTTTCTTATCCTAACGAAAAAAGGTGACCTCTAGACAAAATTCTGTGATTCTCCTAAGACTGCTATTTGGGAGCACACAAACATCATGTTAATTGATCAGGCAGCCTTTAGATTTTAAAATACTATGGTTTTCAAGTTTCTGTAATCTGTAAGTCAGAGCTCAGTTTGTTACCAGCTGTGTATTCAACATGCCATTCAGATTATAAAAGCCACCTGTGACATGAAAAGGGCACATTTCCCCTTCTATTAAGTTAGTTGCATGTGAAACAAATTATGCCAATTAATAATTGAAAATCAATTAAAATGTGCTTATGGGTTGTTCAAAGGAGACTTTTTAAAAATATTAACTGATTTAAGAGATAGCTACTGGTAAGAGGAAAATGTTACTTCATCTACAGTGAGCATTGAAACTGGAAACTTGATAGGTCTAAACATTTTTAAAATTTTAATTATTTGTGATGTAATTGTATCATTTCTTTTTTCTTTTCTTTTTTTTTTAAAGATTTATTTATTTGTACATACAGAACTGGGGTACAGGCCAGAGGCTCAGGGGTGGTGAGAAGCTTCACCAGAGACAGAGTGGGGAGCAGAACAGGTAGATCAACGAAGTACACTGCTGAGGGGAGCAGCGGGCGGGCCAGGAGAGGTCTGCCACGCCATGTGGTCTCCTCCGGGGCAGGCGGGAATTGAACTCATGCGGAAGTGGCTTTTTAGCTTCTCAGTGCAGCGCTTTAACCCGCTGCGCCACCAGGGAGGACCGTAATTGTATCATTTCAAAGATAAATCGAGGGGCAGAGAAAAGAGAAGTACTTTGAACAAAGCTGTCTGAACACTTGGCTTTGAAGTGTAGGCACAGAAGGGTTAAATTGGCAAGGCTGGGACCCGAAAGGCAAAACTTTCTGCACCTCTTGAAGGCCTGGACATCCCCAGCAGGTTTTTGAAAGAGATGGCATCCCTAAGCCCGGTGGGTGTCTGCCATCAGTGCACAGGTTAAGGGTTTATGGGATCGAGTCTGAGAATTCACCTGACCTGAAGCACAGCCCTGGACAGTAAACCTCAAATGGTACTTTCACCACTCAAACAAGTCCATGTTTGTTTGTCTTTTCAAAAACCATCAATCTATTTGCTATGAGTCAAGAAACCCTGCTTGGATTAGCTGTTGTCCAGGCCAGTTAGAGACCACTGCAATAAGCAGTCTAGATTGATGCTGTAAAATATTAATGACTAAAATGGGGAGACTTGAATAAGGTGCTTGCAGGCACTACAATACTGCAGATGAAGATGAGGTTCAGCAGGAACAAGGGTCTATGAAACCTCAAAGTTTGTGATGTTAGTTCAGCCAAAGATTATTTGAGAAATGACTCCAAGTTGATCTCTTTTGCCAGGTGATTTGTCTTTGTGTTTCTTTATTCTGTTGAGTATTGAGATGCAATAAGCAAGTATATGTATAGATATACCAATGTTTTCTCATTTCTCCCTAGATTACCAATAAAAGCAAAGAGTCAACATGGGCCTTAATTCACAGCGTGAGTGATGCTTTTTCTGGCTGGTTGTTGATGCTACTTATTGGGCTTTTATCAGGTATGGTGACCTACGTTGGTTTTCCAAACAAATCTCCTAAACTTTTTGGGTTACCCCCCCCCCAGTCATGAATTGAGTGGAGTGTTGTACTTTACTGTTTTCCCACGTGACATGAGTTTCTGGTGAGCCTTCAAGAGGTTCCATGTCTGCATCTGTGATGGAGTGCGGATTTTTGCCTCTCCTGCCTTGAACACATGAGGTCAGATGAGGAAATGCTGGTAGCTCTGCCTTTTGGTATTTGCCTTTTGCTGCAGGAGACAATTTTTTAAAGACATTTGGGAGTTTTGGAGCGAAGATGCTGAAAAGGAGTCCCTGAGAAATTTTGAAGCTATTTCTTAAATACCTAGTCTCGTTTGGTGGGAAAGAAAGTCATGTAAACTATAGTGCATGCCCTCAAGTAGCTTACAATCTCATTCTTTCCTAGTGGTTTGGAGGTGGGATGGGTCCTCACTCTTATGCTCTCCAACCTATGGAGCTTCTCCAGATAAAATGTCTTCTAGCTTATACTAGTAACTTGTTATGTGAATACAACTTTAAAGCACATTTCCTAACAGCTGTCCCCTTTCGTGGGGAAAGCAGAAAGCCAGAAAATGCCAGGCAGAGGTGCTAGGAGTTGTCATTATGGCATTAACAGGTGAGCCTAGGGGTAGCTGTAATTGAGCTAGAAGGTTGGGATCTGGAGGTGGATGGGATGAAATGGTCATTTATAGCACAAGCTCCAGTTTCTAGCCTCTTAGATTTGAATGTCTGCCTCACCACTTGCTGGTTTCATGACTTTTGGCAAGTCTTTTGACCTGTAAGTGCTTTAGTTTACTGACCTGTAAAATGGGGATAATAAGAGCCCCCATATTACATGTCCCCATATTACATGTTTTTGGTGAGGATTCAATGAGATAGTGCACACACAGCACTCATCACAATGCTCAGGTCTGCCGTGGCCACTGCCATTAAAGATAACTATGCTCGTGAGTCATGGATTACAAAATGATGGCAGTGACTGAGCAGTGGCTCCTCGTAGCTGGGTTTTCAAAGGTTGTTTAGGGTAGGGGGTGGAAAGCTTTTCTGTTAAGGGTGAGGCAGTGAATATTCTAGAATTTGTGAGCCATATGAACTCTGTAGCACAAAGGCAGCCATTGACAATAGGTAAACAGATGAGCAGGAGAAACTGTTTGAAACATAGATGGCAGGCAGATTTCACCCTCATGTGATTGGTGCTAATGTGTGGTGTACAGTATGCCTTGTGTATGTATTTGTGCATACTAACACACAGCATTGGTATCATCTGCCTCACAGTTTGCCAGCCTTGGCTTAGGTTGGTGGCGCTGCCCCCTCTGGTTGGCACAAGAGGGGTGGCCTGACCTGCTTACAGCTGGCTAATAATAACTGAAAGTGGCCTATAATGCCAAGGGAGAGGACTGAGAAAAAGTCAAATAGGTTAGCAGTGAGGAGGGTACGGATGATTTTGAAAACCCATCTCAGGAGAATATTAGGAACGTTTTCAAGGGGAGACAACAGTAGAAGTTCTTGAGTTATTTGGTAATCATTGGTAGGAAAGGAGGGACAAGTTGAATTGGTACAAGGACAAGGGCAAGTGTTTTGGTCTTTAAGGTAGGGGAGCCTAGTGAAATGTGTAACCACAGAAGAAGGAAACAAATGGGCAAATTAGGGGAGATGTGGATGTTGAAGGGAAGGGAGGAGGGTACCAGAGGTGAGTGGGATAAGACATGCACGATAATGAGAACAAGCCAAGCTCTTAACTTAATCATGTTAATTTTTGGAATCTTAAGTAATAAATGTAAGAAGAGTTAGAAAGAAGAGATGGTGCGGATGGGGTGGCCAAGGGTGGGTGTCAAACTGTGTTCTGTTGACTAGGTTATTGAAATATGTAAATAACCTGCATTAACACTTTGAGCACCTACTGAAACACACACACACACACACACACACACACACACACACACAAGACATGGCCTCCAGCCTGCTGGAATGTAGGCGTAATTCCTTCAATTTTAAATGTATCCCTTGTCACTAGGTGGCCAGTGAATATTTTTCTTTCCCTGATACACACAGGGTATTTTGTTTTTAAGCATTGGAGAGCAACAATAGAAGCAGTGTGTCTGAAGGCAGGAGCAGTCTGGGAATTCAGAGGATGTGGATTTTATGATATGTTTGCTGTTTCCCCAAAGCACGATTCTGGATCATTTAATTTCTTTGTGCCAGATTTTTTTCATCTGGACAACAGAACTGATGAGAAGGCCAGAATCCAAAGTAACTGTCTTAAGCCCCCGCAATCTGTCAGCCACAGTGCCTAAGTCCCCAGTTCATTTCCTCATTTTCTTAATGAACGTCCTCTACATATTACTGCATATTCCTTATCACTCAGAAAAACTCAGACTATTCAAGTTCTAGTTTCAGCATGTCTCCAGCTTCATCCAACCTGCCATGCACATCCTAGTTTGTACTTTGATAAATTCACTTCCTTTAATCTAGAGTGCTGTCCTCCCTGTCAGTGGAGCAAAACCCTCAACCATAGAGTTCAGCAGCGCCTCTCCCCCATGCCATTTGAATAGATTCCGTATGATATTCTTCAGTGCGGGCAGGTTGTGTTTTCTCAACCTTAGGCAGATAGTGAGAATAAAATAAACTTGATTGTCTGCGGATCAGTCTTCATCAACTCTAAGTCAAGCAGTGTTTGCCAGATAAATAGGCTCTGAGGCAAATCCACTCACCCCTTGCTCCCACTCAGCCACTTTGCTCTCCCCTAAGTTTTTACATTGAAGTTCTGCAGACATACTGTTCGCAAGGTGGCAGGTGAAAATCCAGCAGACCATCAGAAAGGTGGCAGATGGAATGGGAAACTTTATGTTGTCCATTATTTTGATTCCTTTCCCCTCATTTTCTCTAACAGCTTATTCTGATTCCCTGAAGACAAAGTTTCAAGACTAGAACTGAACTTTTCCCTCTCTTCCTCCCCTCAACTCAGGTTCACTAGCTGGCTTGATTGACATCTCTGCTCATTGGATGACAGACTTAAAAGAAGGTATATGCACAGGGGGGTTCTGGTTCAACCATGAGCACTGCTGCTGGAACTCCGAGCATGTCACCTTTGAAGACAGAGATAAATGCCCGGAGTGGAACAGCTGGTCCCAGCTGATCATCAGCACCGATGAGGTAACATGCAGAGATTTCTGAACCACTGGCTTTTATTCTGATGATGCCGACTTCATGTCTTACGCCGTACTGCTGACTACTGTGAACTCTTCCCCTGTCTTCCTTTTCATAAAAAAGGGAACCTGTGCCAGCTGCCTTTCTTGTGGCTCACATGTACGCCCATTTCGATCTCTTAGGACAAGTGGAGTCATGGCTTATTTTTTTTTAATTTGTATTTATTTTTGTGTGGAAGAACTGGGGCACAGGCCAGAGTTGTGCAGGGGGTAAGAGGATTCACCAGAGGCAGAGTGGGGAGCAGAATAGGCAGATCTACTGAGATATACTGCTGAGGGGAGCAGTGGGTGAGCCAGGAGAGGTCTGCAGCACCATATGGGTCAGCTCCCTGGCTGGGGATCAAACTCAGGCTATTGTAGGGATAGTGCTGAGACTTAACTCCTGGGCCACTAGGGAGGCCCTTAAATTTTTTGTTTTAAACAAACCTGGTATTTTTTTCTTAGTTGTTAGTCCAAAGTATGACTGGATCTCTGGATTTCTCTAATAATTTTAGTAGAAATGTTAGGACCAGCCAAGGTGTAAGGTGTAATTTCTTTTCTTTCTTTCTTTTTTATTTTTTTGATTTATTTATTAATACAGAACTCGGGTACAAGCCAGAGATGCAGGGGGTGGTAAAAGGCTTCACCAGAGTCAGAGTGGGGAGCAGAACAGGCAGATCGATTTTGTACAGTGTGGAGGGGAGCAGCTTCTCAGTTCCTTATTTTCCTATGTTATATCTCTCCTACTAAAAACAAAACAGACAAAATGAAGCAGAACAACTCGAATTCCCAATTCTCTGGTTTCACCAGCTGAAATAGGTACTGTCTAGTACCTTAGGAGAGATCTGCCATGCCATGTGGATCACCTCCGGGGTGGGGGATCAAACTTGCACTGAGGATGCGGCTGGCTTGCAGTATTGTGTCCTAAGCCTTTGCGCTACCAGGGTGGGCCTATAAGGTGTAATTTATAAGAAAAGATGGAATGGATTAAAAATGTGTTTATCATGTAAATTTCAAAAGTGATTCTCCCCTGAGCATTTATATGAGAACACTCCATATTAAAATACTGCAAACCCAGCAATAAAATTGCCCCGCTCCAGTTTGAGGTTGATATTTTAGTTGATATTTTCATTTGGTCTTGTTTCTACGCTATGTTTTTTGATGCAGAAGTAACTTTGCTTTTCAGTTCCTTGCCTTCCTATGTTATATCTCTCCTACTAAAAACAAAACAGACAAAATGAAGCAGAACAACTCGAACTCCCAATTCTCTGATTTCACCAGCTGAAGTAGGTACTGTCTAGCTCACTGCCCATCTACTCTCTTAGTTAGTGTGGGACAAGGTTAGGACAAGTGGTTCTGTTTTTAAATTTTTATTTTTATGCCTACCTTGGTTCACAAACATCTTGAAATGGTGTACACATGGCAAGAATTAGTTAAGGGAAAAGAGGGGTTGGGAAAATAATAGGCAGAAATAAGAGTGTCCATGTAGTTATGTGACCATGCATATTGTCTTGGAAGAAAAAGGTCAACAAAATGTATGGAGAGAGAGTCTAAGTCTCTGCTTTTCGAGCTGGGTTAAAGTCAGCATGCCAGAGGGTAGGTGAAACCATGGAGTAAACTATGTCCTTCCCCAGAATATCAGTTTTTCCTGAAGAGCTGTATAATAATTTTTTTCAAAAATTGAGTATGATCAATCATTTAAAAGGCATGCAGAATGGCCGTGCTTATTAAGACAAAGCATGTACTTCAGCTGCTCCTGGGTACACCGCCCTCTGCACGTGGTATCTCGACGAACTCTGCTTGATTTGGGGTCTTTGGGTAAGATCATGTGAAAAGCTCTGACATAAGGCTTGCTTGTGTGACCCCCTCTTTTTTTTTTACTTTTATTTGTGAACTAATTATAAATTTACAGGAAGTTGCACAACAGAGTACAGGGAGGTCCCCTGTTCTCTTCATGCAGCTGTCTCCAAAGGGGACATCTTTTATATCTAAAGTACAGTAAGTGGTAAAACAGGGAAATTAGCATTAGTACAATTCACAGACATTATTTTACCAGTTTTATATGCACAGTGGTGTGTGTGTGTATGTGTGTAGTGCTCTGTAATTTTATCCGATGGGTTGATTGTGTTGATTTGTATAACTGCTACAATCAAGATACAGAACTATGGTTCTATCACCACAGAGCTCTGCCATGCTGCCCCTTGATAGCTGTGTATGTATAAGTGTTCCAATGAGAACGTTAAAACTGGAACCTGAGATTTGCCCTAGTGACATTTTTTTCTGGCTCCTCTTTTTATGAATGAATGCTTGACTGAAGAAAGAGTCCTCTAGGTTTTAAGAAGGGTTGTTCTGCCAAGAACTTGGCCTCCTGGTCTCTGCCTCTAGCCAGTTCCACCCACTTTCCCTTTCACTTCCTTTCCCTCTTTCTTACCTCTGTAGTCTTCTTCCTCTCTAGCTATACTGGGAGACAAAGAACGAGCAGGTATCTGTTCCTCTGGGCGATAAAGATGATGGAAAACGTGTGTCAAAATTATAACCCAGAAAAAAACCTGAGCTTTCTGGTTCTCATTGTCTAGGTCAGTGAATTATTTTAATGGTGCTTTATGTTTTAAAAAATCTATTGAGTTTTGTGTTTCTGGTAATTTGAGTAAGGTTCCTCTTCTATTATTTTGATCAGCAAACAGAATCTCATATTGCTCAAGAGAGTTGTGTTTTTTTTTTTTTTTGAGGTATAGCTATTTGCTAGCTAGCATTTTAATGTTCTTACGTTCTTACAAGTGGCCAAAGTATATTTTCCGGCACTTCATTATCATACATTGGGAATTTCAAAAGTCAGTTTTTCTTTCCATGTTCAAACTAGCTATTGCCTTATATTCTTTTGGGTGGCTGGCATCTCAGGTGAGACTCATGATGAGTGCCCAAACCTTTCAACTGAGTAACTTGTTGCTCAGTCTGTGGTCATCAAATTATCTCACAAGTAGGTTTGTTTTCTAGAGAATGTGATTATGTATTTTAAGAAAAGCTGAGGAGAATAGAACTGGACTTTTAGTGGTGGGCTTAATGTATAGGTATATACAATGATCTTGAATGGTGCACCCCTGAAATGTATATAATAAAACAACTTTATATCAATAAAAGTTGTTTTAAAAAAGGAAAATCATCCAGGAATTTTGGAAATGATAACCTGTGAGAACTTGACACCAATAAAAGAACTGTTAAGTCTTAATAAAATTGACATCACTTTGCATATATTTGCCTACAAAACCTATCCAGCAAATTATTCACATCGAAAGTGAATTGCTGTCAAATTTTGTTTGTTCTCCATTCTTGTCCAACTCAGAAGCTGTTGTCAGTTTCCTTTGGGTGTAGCCACCCTTCTGATTTTCAGTAAAATGGGCTAACAGTGTTTCAGAAGTTGCTTTATTGACAGTCTGGGAGGAGCATCTTGAAACGATTTGATGCCTGTCTTTTTCTTTCTGACCTTCTTTCTCAAAAACCCATTGTTGAGAAGAGCTGCATGCCTCACTGTGATCATCTGGGCTGAAACAAGCTTTCTTTCTTCTCTGTTCCAGGGAGCCTTTGCCTACATAGTCAATTATTTTATGTATGTCCTCTGGGCTCTTCTCTTCGCCTTCCTTGCTGTGTCCCTTGTGAAGGTGTTTGCACCTTATGCCTGTGGTTCCGGAATCCCTGAGGTGAGTCTCTAAAATGGTTCATAAATGATAACCATAATGCGTCCTTTCTGGTTAAAAACCTTTCATGTGCATTCCAGCATCTGCCACATTATGAATATGAATCTGGATCAGACCACGAGGGACTCTAGGGCCTCTCTAGGTCTTCTTTGCATTTTCTCCCAGCCTGGGCCATCTGGACATTAAGGGAAGTTGATTCCTAGTCTCCTGTGGTTCTTAGTGCCGCAGGCCCCTGAAGAGCTCCCCAACTCTTTACCCAAGAGTAAGCACACTAGAGCCCCAAATTCTGGAAAAGTAATGGTATTGACACCTTTCTTAGAGCAGAAAAAAATAAAACTATTTTGCTCCATTTCCTATATTATGATTTGAACTAGTAAGAGAGCATTTCCACCTACTTTTGATTTTGATTGCTTGACATTGCCTAAAACCACTGAGGTTTTAGGTTATCCTGATGATCTTGCCCCTCTCTGTTTCCTGACCAAGTCAAAGTTATACTTTCTTTGCCAGAGAATCAAGGCTGGCTATACTAGTTTTTGAGAATGCAAATATGGGAAGAAAGCACCTACCTCCCCTGCCAACCGTCTCTGCTTCCCCCTCTCCATACTCACTCACTCTCATACATTAACTACTCTCTTGCCCAGCAAGTCTGTGGCTCCCTGCCCCAAAAGGAACTTTTGAAACCTTAAAGAACAGTCCCTGCTTTCTTGGGTTCCTGGGCTCTCTCCCAAACTGGGATCATTATAAGTCAAGCATCTGTATGTAACTTGTTCAAAAGGTACATTTTCTATAATGTCTAGATTATTGCTTTTTAGCCTTGCTTACTTACTTAGTCAATATCCAATCTCTCTCTTTAACTTACAGATAAAAACTATCTTGAGTGGTTTTATTATTAGGGGCTATTTGGGTAAGTGGACCCTGATTATCAAAACCATCACATTGGTGCTGGCTGTATCTTCTGGTTTGAGCCTGGGCAAAGAGGGCCCCCTAGTGCACGTGGCTTGCTGCTGTGGGAATATCTTGTGCCACTGCTTCAACAAATACAGGAAGAATGAAGCCAAGCGCAGAGAGGTAATAACAGATGACTTTAACAATCTTTTTTTTTTTTTTTTTTTTTTTTGGTGAATGCATCAATGGGACAATCTTATCAATGGGCATTTGGGGATTCTACCAGTGTCAATGCAAGTACCTTTTGATTCAGAAATTTCACTTCTAAGAATTTATCCTACAGATGTCTTAGCACATGTGTGCAGGAGGGTGTAGGAGGGTGATCAGTGGAGCATTTATCAACGTATTGAAACACTGAAATAATCAAAATAGGCATCAGTAGGGGTCTATTGGAGTAAACAAAATTCTATCCATCCACACTAGAAAATACTATACAGCCATTAAAAAGAATGAGTTAGGCCTATGTAAATGATAGTACTAAAACACCATTAAATTTTAAAAGCTAATTTTGGTACAGTGTGTATATTGTAATGCAATTAATGTGTTTTTAAATGTGTATATACTCTCAGAAGGAAATTCTGGAAAGTGGTTTACCTTAAATTGTTAAAAATGTCTATTTCTACTAAATGGGAAAGTGAGATGGTAGTGAAGGAGGAGGACTTTTTTTAAAATAATGTAATAGTTTATTTTTATATCATTTTGTGCTTTTTTTTTTCATCTCACTTGTAATCCACATGGGCTTCCCATCACCAAGTCACCCATGTGCCATCACTATAGTCCATTGCACTTCACCCCCCATTTTTGATCCCATTCCCCACTCCACCCCCGTTAAATGTCTCTGGTATATAGTTGTTCATTATTAGTATTTTTCTCCCCTGGTCCTTTATACTCCTTCTGTGAGTGAAACCACCTGGTATTTTCCCTTTTCTTTCTGGCTTATTTCACTAAGCATGATCCCTTCCAGCTCCATCCATGTTGCTGCAAAAGGCATGTGATTATCTTTTTGATTGCTGAGTAATACTCCATTGTGTATATGTACTACACCTTTTTAATCCAGTCATCTACTTTTGGGCATTGGGGTTGTTTCCATGTCTTTCCAATTGTAAATAAAACAGCAGCGAACATGGGGGTGCAGGTGTCTTTTTGAATCAGGGTTTTTGTGTCTTTTGGGTAGATACCTAGGAGTGGGGTTGCTGGTTCGTAGGGAAGCTCCATGTTTAGCAGTTTGAGGAACCTCCAAACAGTTTTCCATAGTGGCTGTACTAGTGCAGGAGAGTTCCTTTTTCTCCACATCCGGAGAAGGACTTTTTTAATGCATAATGTTCTGCAATTATGTGCTGTTTCTACTACAAAATAAAGGATTTTAAAAAGTTTATTGCTGTAGAAGGATAACTATAAACTCAGTATGTATGTCAGACACTAACCTTTTTATTTCTAACGTCATATTTACTTTCCCTCTGTAGGGGATCTTTCTTTGCCTTTGGCCACAGCCCCACTCATTTTTCCCATAACAGCATCTTTGTAGTTGTTCACATGTTAATAGAGTTGTTAATGTATACTATTTTGAGGATGTAGCATATTTTAAAAAAAGTTTTCCAAGTCATAAGTTACTTTTTGTTGTGCTATAATTGCAGTCTTAAGTTAAGACTTGCTCTGTTTTCCTTGAGTTACAAAGAAATTATATGGAATGGGCTGATACCAAGATCATCTTATTAGAAATGAATTTCTACAAAAAAAAATCCTAGGAATTTATTCTAAAAAAGCAAAAGAAAAATTGGCCAAAGATCCAGAAGGAAACTAACGATGTTGACTTCTCATTTTTTAAAAAGATTTATTTATTTATGCATACAAGAACTGGGGTACAGGCCAGATGTGTGGGGGTGAGAGGGTCCACCGAGACAGAGTGGGGAGCAGAACAGGCAGAACGGGTGAAACACACTGCTGAGGGGAGCAGAGTACAGGCCAGGAGAGGTCTGCCAGCCATGTGGTTCACCTCCCTGACTGGGGACCAAACTCATGCTGCAGTAGCTGTGGACAGCTTCATAGTGCTGTGCCTTAACTCATTACACCACCAGGGAGGGCCTGATGTTGACATTTCAATTATGGAATATATCTGGAAAGTTCAGGAGGGCATGTTCCTGGCATGGTTAGAAAGGAGAGGGAGACTAGCAGGAGAGAAAGAGAGTGAAAACTTAGTAGATTGTTCTAGCCACCTGTCTTATGGTAGAACGACAGAAGGTGATATTAAATTGGTGAGATTGTTCAATGGTAAGAATGTACAACAGAAGCTGAAGAGCTGAAAAAAGTAACTGGCAGGAGTAAAATGTTGATTGATGCTGGTTTTGCATAGGTAGATATGACTTTGAGTCTATAGATTGCTGGTTACTTTCATTTCTGAAGTTGACATTTTTGTGCCAATAGTCCATTATAAAATGAGAGGGAATCTGACTTGGCTATTTCTCTGTACAGATGTCACATAGTCTTCCAACAAGACTTGTGAATATTGGATCGTTAGTTTACTTCCTGTTGCTTATTAGACTTTTTGGTTATTTTTTCCTGTTCTCACCATCGGCAGCAATCCTTTTGTGTCCCAGGGGCCATGCCCATGGGCAGGTGGTTGATAGTAAAGGTAGAGATTTGAGAAGGATGGTTATTGACAGAGTCCACTCTCTGTGTACAGTTAAAGCAAGCCAGCTACTCTCATTCTTCTTTCTTATACTTCATTCTAAAGCATCATTACTGAAATCCCCTCTCTCAAGTCCCATGTTGACTGTCAACTTTCTCAGACAAAAGTCCATCATCACTGTGAGTTTTGAACACCTTCCCAGCTATTACCAGAGACAGTCTTTCCTCCCTGTCATTTTACTGCACCATCCTGCGTTCTTAGAGAAACCTCACTGCTTATTTTGTCGAGAGCCATTTTATCCTACAAAAACGGAATTTTGTCCAGCTTTCTCTTTAAAAATTTGTTTATTATCACAACCAATATATCACACATCACAGAAGCCAGAATCTTATGAAAGGACTTATCCTTCTATGATTTTTCCCCTTTAGTTTTGTGTTATTTGAACCTTCTTTAAGTGTCACTTTATAAGAATTCCTTTTATAAGAAAGTGCTATGTGAACACGTCACTATAAGTAAGTACTTCATGTAGGTGGTGAATAATAGTTCCACAAACTGAAATTCAGTTGGAAGTATTAGGGGTGAGGGGAGAATTGGGAGGACAGCGCATGCCTGCATAACAAAGGAAAGGCTTCTACATGTATGAGTACTTGACTATGTATGTTCAAATTCTGACACATAATGTTACTTTCCAATATAAATTGAACTTCATTTTTGATAAATTGGACCTGGGACCCATAAAGGTTTCTTTTTATGTCTAGTAACCACTAACATTCCTTTTAAAAGATGATTGAAAGTACAGTGGCATTATTCTATCACTAATTCTGAGTTTGGGATTGTAGGTTTTGTCGGCCGCAGCAGCAGCTGGTGTGTCTGTAGCCTTTGGGGCTCCTATCGGTGGAGTATTATTCAGCCTAGAAGAGGTAATGACTTTGAACTGTCTACAGAGCATGTGCATGCTTTTGTGTCATGGTTTCTGACCAGCGTCTGTGTGCATTGCTGTCCTTTGTGCTCTGCCAACTCAGTGCTTGACCACGTGACCAGTGACCCAGGCACTTTCATCCTCCTCTAATTCCTGCAGCACTGACTTTTCACTGAATATACAGGGGCTACATATTGACGGAGTTCGCTTTCTCACCTTGTCTCTATAGGTCAGCTACTATTTCCCCCTGAAAACGTTGTGGCGATCATTCTTTGCTGCGTTGGTAGCAGCATTCACCCTGCGCTCCATCAATCCTTTTGGAAACAGCCGCCTGGTTCTATTTTATGTGGAGTTTCACACCCCATGGCATCTCTTTGAGCTTGTGCCATTCATTCTGCTGGGCATATTCGGTGGTCTGTGGGGAGCTCTGTTTATACGCACAAACATTGCCTGGTGTCGGAAGCGTAAGACCACCCAGCTGGGCAAGTATCCTGTCATAGAGGTCCTCGTCGTGACAGCCATCACCGCCATCTTGGCTTTTCCCAATGAATACACCCGTATGAGCACAAGTGAGCTCATTTCTGAGCTGTTTAATGACTGCGGGCTTCTGGACTCCTCCAAGCTCTGTGATTATGAGAACCGTTTCAACACAAGCAAGGGAGGTGAATTGCCTGACCGACCAGCTGGTGCAGGAGTCTACAGTGCGATGTGGCAGCTGGCCCTGACCCTCATCTTGAAAATTGTCATTACCATTTTCACGTTCGGCATGAAGGTGAGAAGATTCCTTTGGCCCTGAGTGGAGGTAGATGTGGCTGTGGGTTTGGAGGGCAAACCTGAGATAGCCTATCATCCTCATATCATATGAGGTGTTTCCAACTTCACCCCACATTACTCCCATACCCTCAAAAGCTCCTTCCTCACCCCACATCCCATAACTTCTTAGACAAAATTGTATCTAAGTCTTAAATTCGAAACTTAGTTTTAAACCTGTGCAAATCTTATGGTAATTTAAGATGGAAATATTTTCTCTTTTTCTGTGGAAAACACTTTTTTACCCTCAAAAAGTATGGTGAAGTATTTATTGCAGGTGTATTTTATATGAAAACAATACCTGACCAGCACCGGTTGCTGTAGAGTTTACCAACACAGTTCACAGGACTAGGTTGAACTGAAATGGAGTTGTTCACATTCTACCTTTTGACCATTAAAACAGCATCTTTATGTGGTTTAACTCAACATACAGCTAAAGGCATTTTTTTGGTAGATGATATTAATGTACAGTTATCAAGAACTTCACAGGCGATCCTAGACAAATCAGCGCTGTTGTTTTACTTTTATTACCTATCACCGTATCCATGTGTCAGAAGAAACAAAGGAAATTTTGTTAATGTTTCCTCTTCCTTTCCAGGTTTTAGTGTTTCTTTTCTTTAGTGCCCCATTACCAAGTTCTTTCCCTCTATTACCTGCACTTCCCAGATTTGAGATTCAAATCTGAAAATAAGAGATAGCAACTCAGTTTCCAGCGTATCGCAGTTGCTGAGATAATGCCATCTATTCCTCTCAATACCCTAGAAAGTTTTGCAGTGTTCCTTGACTTAATTTTTACCTTGTGGCTTCATTCTTTCACTTAAACTGAATTGGTGTGCCATCAAACCCACCCAGCTTCAAATGGACCCCAAAAGTAAATATAAACTACTTATTTTTTTAAGATATACATTTATTTTTTATTTTTTTAATTGCATTCTTTTTTTTTAAAGATTTATTTTTATTTATTCGTACGGAACTGGGGTACAGGCCAGAGATGCGGAGGGTGGGAGAATTCACCAGGGACAGAGTGGGGAGCAGAACAGGCATATCGACGAAGTACACTGCTAAGGGGAGCAGCAGGCGGGTCAGGAGAGGTCTGCCGCACCATGTGGTCACCTCCGGGGCAGGCGGGGATCAAACTCATGTGGAAGCGGCTTAAGCTTCTTAGTGCAGTGCTTCAACCTGCTGCACCACCAGGGAGGGCCAAGATATACATTTATTTATTTATGCAAACAAGACCTGGGGTGTCCACTAGAGGTGCAGTGGTTGGGGTGGTGAGAAGATTCACCAGAAACAGAGTGGGAAGCAGAACAGGCCAATCTACTGAAATACAATGCTGAGGGGAGCAGTGGGCGAGTCTGCTGCACCATGTGGGTCAGCTCCATGTCTGGGGATCAAACTCAGGCCGCAGTGGCTGCCAGTAGCTTGGTAGTGCCAAGACTTAATCCCTGTGCCACCGGGGAGGCCCATATATAAGCTATTTTAAAACAATCTGCTGTTTTGATTATTTTTGTCATCATTTCCCTCTCAGCACAGAAAGTTGAGGATTCACTATATTATACTAGGGGCCCAGAAAGAGTGGGGAGACAGTTGAGGGTTCCTTTTTGGGTAGTCAGTTGCACAACCATCATCCTACTTCATTTAAAAATGGAATTCTGGGCCCTCCCTGGTGGCGCAGCGGGTTAAAGCACAGCACTAAGAAGCTAAAGCCACTGCAGCATGAGTTTGATTTCCACCTGCCCCGGAGGTGACCCACATGGCACGGCAGACCTCTCCTGACCCACCCGCTGCTCCCCTCAGCAGTGTACTTCGACAATCTGCCTGTTCTGCTCCCCAGTCTGTCTCTGGTGAAGCCTCTCACCGCCCCTGAGCCTCTGGCCTGTACCCCAGTTCTGTATGTATAAATAAATTAAAAAATCTTAACACAATGGAATTCTTTAATTTTTATGTGCCATCCTTTTGTGTGAGCAATGGGTTAGAATTGACTACATGAGAACAGTTGTAGGCATGGCATTTAAACCTTGGCACCAACATTTACTAACTTTTGACCTTGGGTGAGTTACTTCAATTCTCTGAACCTCAATTTCTTGTAACGTGGAAATCCATCTCTGGATGTGGTTGTAAAAAAAAAAAAAACTAGTGGAATCTTACCTATGAAACATCTGGAATAGGCCATGAGAGTCAATAAAGGGTAATTGTTATGGACAAGAATTCAGAATTGGGGGAAATATCTGCTTATATGAAAAACTCCATCTCTTTTCCTTGGGAGGTACGGCTTAATTTCCACCCCCAGTTCTGTGTTGGTCTAGAGAGTTTAGGCTCTTCCTGCTGGGCCCTGAGACAGGGTCAGCTTCTTTGCGATTGTACTTGCCTGCACTGCCCAGATGACCTCTAGTCCCTGTAGTTTTACACAAATGTTTGCCGCCACTTGCTAGTATAGTGCATCATGACTTTATCACTGGTCTGTTCGCGTCACAGAGGGTCAGCCCTTTAGTCCTTTTCCAAATGGCAAGCAGTCACATCATTTCTCAACTAACCACCTTCTGCTTTCTCTTTGCAGATCCCTTCTGGCCTCTTCATCCCTAGCATGGCTGTTGGTGCTATAGCGGGTCGACTTTTGGGAGTAGGAATGGAGCAGCTGGCTTATTACCACCATGACTGGGCCATCTTCAATAGCTGGTGTAGTCAGGGCGCTGATTGCATCACCCCTGGCCTGTACGCAATGGTTGGAGCTGCTGCCTGTTTAGGTGAGTAGGGTCTGCGTTGATTTAAGTGACAAAAGTAAGGGTCGGGATAGTAAATGCAGGTGAATGCAGATTCCTTTTATGGCCATCCATTTCCTGTTGGGTTTTGCATTTTTAAAAATAATATAATAGCTTATTTTTACACATTTTGTGCCTTTTTCCATCTCACTTGTAATTCCCGTGGGCTTACCATCACCAAATCACCCATGTGCCATCACCACAGTCCAGTGCACTTCCCTCCCCCCACTGTTTTTGATGGGCTTTGCATTTTTTAAGTGCTTTAAGAAAGCATTCTTTATGATATGTCTACATTCCTCCCCTTTGAGAGAAATACCATCATACTGAGGAAATCATCAGAAACTTGGACAAGAATATCTGAAGAGAATGTTCATCACACTATTATTATTTATTTTAAAGATTTGTTTGTTTATACATGCAAGAGCTGGGGAGCAGAACAAGTGGATATATTGAAAGGTACTGCTGAGGGGAGCAGTAGGTGAGACAGGAGAGGTCTGCTGGGCCATGTGGGTCGGCTCCCTGGCAGGGGATCAAACTGAAGCTGCAGTGGCTGTCGATAGCTTGATAGTGATGAGACTTTGACCTCTGCACAACCAGGGAGGCCTACACTATTACTTATAATAGCAACAAGTTGGAATCAAACTAAATGTGCACATTAAGGGGCTCATTATGTAAATTACGGTACATCCAAATGTTATACAGCCATTGAATGTTTAACATATTTAAGTAGAATAATAAACTTGTAATAATATACAAAAGGCTCCTAACATAAAGTATGTTGCTGGGAGGGTTATCATGGTAAGGAATTAAACACAGTTTAAATGAGTTCACCTCTGTAAAAATGTACATTTTTGCATAGTCAAACATCTGAAAATATAACGCAAAAATTTTACTCTAGATTTTTCTAGGCAATAAGCCTGTGGATATAATTCCTTTATGTATTTAAAAATATATCCTGATTTTTCCACAACGAGCCCATGTATCCCTCAGGATGAGCTCAAGTCCTCATAGTGTTACACAAAATGTGGATGTCTTATGCAGTTATTTTATAATTAGGGTGCAAAAAAGCAACTGACATGAAAAAATCAAAGAATTAAGAAGGCATTCTGTGCTTTTGTAGATGTTATTTGAGAAATCTGGACTCATGCTCATTGCAAACTTACTTGACCACAGTGGCCGGGGTCTGTGAAGATGTAGGTTAGTTAGCCCTCTTTTAGCGATGTTTCTGGATGGGTGTCGGGGACAAGCCTGTAATTACAATAAACCCTGTATTTTGCCTGCCCTCAGTCACCTTTGTCTGTGTCTTTTCAGGTGGGGTGACACGGATGACTGTTTCTCTTGTTGTCATAATGTTTGAACTAACGGGTGGCTTGGAGTACATCGTACCTCTAATGGCTGCAGCCATGACCAGCAAGTGGGTGGCAGATGCTCTTGGGCGGGAGGGCATCTATGATGCCCACATCCGTCTCAACGGATACCCCTTTCTTGAAGCCAAAGAAGAGTTTGCTCATAAGACCCTGGCAATGGATGTGATGAAACCCCGGAGAAATGCTCTGTTAACTGTCCTTACTCAGGACAGTATGACCGTGGAAGATGTAGAGACCATAATCAGTGAAACTACTTACAGTGGCTTCCCAGTGGTGGTGTCCCGGGAGTCCCAAAGACTTGTGGGTTTTGTCCTGCGACGAGATCTCATTATTTCAATTGGTAAGGATTTCAGAACGGGGCTAGTGGCATCCACTATGGAAATGGATAGGTGTGCAATGGTAGAAGGTGGTGGGGAGAGGGGCCTAGTTAAAGGCCAAAGGATAGAAGTAGTACTTGCATTTACAACTTTACTTTTCTGCTTTTCAAATAGAAAATGCTCGGAAAAAGCAGGATGGGGTTGTGAGTACTTCCATCATTTATTTCACTGAGCATTCTCCTCCAATGCCACCGTATACCCCGCCCGCCCTAAAGCTTCGGAACATCCTGGATCTGAGCCCCTTCACTGTGACTGACCTTACACCCATGGAAATCGTGGTGGATATCTTCCGCAAGCTGGGGTTGCGGCAGTGCCTGGTCACGCACAATGGGTGAGAGCTCTTTGGAGAAGGCCAACTGGGTGGTAGAGTGCAGACTAGAGAGACAAAGATGGAAAATCAAATTCAAGTAAACATGAGTAGCATATTGGAACCTTTTTGAAGCACTGGGATGAAGATGGATATATTTCTGTAGTCATAATTCATAGAAAAGGCTTTGGGGAAGAAGTGTTTGAGAGATGTGAACTTTTGGTTGTACGTTATAAATAATTCAGCTCTCCCCCCATAATGGGAACAGCTGTGTTTTTATGAATAGACAACACTGAAATTCTAATGATATCAGTAGTAAATGTCTAGTACTTGTTCCTTACAATTACTTTACTACTATTAGAGGTTGAGCAAAGTCAGTTTCAGTGAGGTTTAAAGATATGTACAAGGGCCGACATTTAATATATAATAGAGGCGGGCTCTTAACACAAGTCATCTGACTCCCACAGCCAAGGCTTGCTCTTTCTGGGAGATCTCTTATCCAGCAAAGGAAGCCCTGCTATTTTTATTGGAAAGGAAGGAAGGTTGAGGAGAAGGGGGATTTTTTTTTCTCCCTGAACATGGTATGTTAATCCTGCAATTATATAAGAATTTCCCCCTCTAAAATTTCTAACTGCTGTAACAGATGTCTTGAAGGATTTAAATCAGTCAGGGGATTTTTCCTAACTGATTCATTCAACTTTTATTGAATCCTTACTTCATGTAAGAAGGTTTTCCACCAGCCTCCAGGGAGACACAAAAATGAATAAGACCCTTATCTGCCCTCAAAGCATGTGCAGTGTCCTAGGGAAGCAGAGAATACACAAACAGGAGCAGTGCCTGGGGGCGGTGTGTGTAGAGCATGCTGTTGCTCGCTCCTGTGATCGGAGAAGGAGTTCTGGAAAAGGGCCCTTTGAACTGGGCTGCAGAAGTGGAGGAAGATTCATATGTGTGCAGAAGAATATTTAAATCAGAGGAAAGAACAGGATCTGAGTCCTGGAGGTAGTGATGCTTGGAGGGTGTTTAGCGACCTAGTCAGGGTCTCATTCGCCTGGTGCGCAGACCCTCATTCTACCATCTCCTCATTCTGGAAGGGCAGCAAATGTCCAAGGATGGAGTTGTGAAGGAGTGAGGAGTGAAAGTATAACTTTTGAGAATGTTATTTTAAGTACAGATTTATTTTTATTTTGTCTTGTTTTGTTTTTTAGGCGACTGCTTGGCATCATTACCAAAAAGGATGTTTTGAAGCATATAGCACAGATGGCGAACCAAGATCCTGACTCCATTCTCTTCAACTAGAATGACAGGGGTGGCTGGATATAAAAAGGAAAGACATTGCAGACCATGGATATATTTTATAGACTGGGTACCCAAAACACATTTCCCATGTTTGGATGGTGAAGTTCTATTAGTGTCTTGTCTCATTCTTACATGTTAACCAGTTGCACTACATAATCTCTGGAAATTAATCTTCTCTTTCGGAGAATATACAGTTAGGCTTCTGTGATATTGCTAGGAAGGTTTCATGAAAGAGGAAACAAGATTGCTATGGATTAATTGTTTTTCTCTCTTTTTTTAAGATTTTTATTTTAGTTAAATAATTTCTAGCCAATATGCAATCACTGAAAACTATGCAAGAAAAATTCCAACTGTCCTGACCTATATAGCCTGCAGGAAAGTCATGAAAAAGTCACTTTTTTGGACTCTAACAGTCATTGGTGGAAGATGAAGTGTAAACTAAGTGGCTTTACTTTTCCAACCACAGAAAGGAAAGCCAGAAGGAAAATAATAATGGTATTTTCCAGACTGTGAAGATACAGTTCAAATGTTATCTTGTTCCTGTTACAATATTAGCATTATTAGTTTGTGTATGTTGTATATGTTAATTTTAATATCTGATTATAAGACAATGCTGCTTTGGTTAATCTCCTCTAAAAGAGTTTAGAGAGGTTGATTTTTATAGCTTGCTTGTTCCTGGTACTCTACTGAAGTACACAGAGATAAGTCATAGAGCTTTCACCCTGTCTGCAAAAAGGGTAAATTTCCAGATGGTATTTGTTAGCTAGTGGACAAGGACTTTGCAATGAATTCCTTAGTAGCAAGGAATGGTTTCTTCAGCTTCCTTGAAATGAATGATTAGTAAAATTCTAAGCAAAGTCAGTGATTAGGAATTTAATATTTTGTAAGGTCCCAACTAGCCCTCTTACCCAGATGCCACCTCCATTAGCGATGGTGCTTTATAGGCTTCTGGAATTGCGAGTAAAGGGAACCAAGTTTGGCCTGCATACTGGTAAACCAGAGATGATCCTGAGCTCTGTCTGCATTCTCATGCATTCCTCTGTAAAGACCACCAGTACTAAAATAACTGGGCACTTGTGCTTCTTTCAACGTTACATACGACTAAGAGGCCAGTGGTTTTCCAGTGAACATGAATTTAGGCTTGGGGTACTCTCAACTATATTCAAGGCATTGAAATAGGATAGGCAGCTGTGATTCCCTGAGGCTCCTAAGAATTCTACATAAATTGCAGAGCCATCCTAAGACCCAGGGACATGGACAAGGCCCGGTGACACCAAAGGTGCTTGTATCCAATCGAAAAGGTGCCTGTCTCCATTTCCCACCACCTTCACCGCACTGGAAAACAGTACACTATCGGGACCCCTGGTGGAGTTACAGAGCCACCACCATCATTCCGACCACTGTTCTGTTTTTTACAGTTTACCCATGGGTAATTACTCTCCAGTTTTCTCTCTCTTTTCATTCCTCAGTCCCACATCCTGTTTTTGGGGTCGGGTCTCATACCTGGTTAATCATTCCTACTATTAAAAAATAACTTCCAGGGCAAGCTAAAATGGAAACCAAGGCTCAGCAACCTTATGGTAGGTGGGCCAGAGCTAACACACAGCCATTTGCTTTGCTGCCTAGCCCAGTCACCCCTGCTAGGCCTCCAGCAGTGAGACTTAACAGCCAGGGGTGAGAGTTCAGCCTTTCCCATTCTTTCAAGTCTGTTCCCAGCCGCCCACCATCCTTCCAGCCTAGAATTCGACATCTTCTCGTTTGCCTCCTCCCTCCTCCTCCCCAAAGACCTCAGTGTACCTCATTTTAAAAGTTGCTAATCCCTGATTCTAGGATTTTTTTTATTCCTAGTTCTTAGTCTTTCCAAATGCTGAAATTCTTTTATTGCCCAGAACTAAGTGGCCAAGACTTACTTTGATTGTGATTTTTTAAATACTAAGGCAATCACCAGAGATTTTTTTCCTTTTAAGTTTATCACTTAGTATTTTAGTGAGAAGGGGGAAAACCCAGTAGCGTGTATTATATCATCATGAATCCGTAACTTGACATCTGTGTTTTGTTTTTCTTTTTTTTTTTTTTTAATGCCACTGACTCCCACATGATGAGGCTCTTTGCCTGGCCACCCCTATATGTTGTGTAGAAATCAAATTTCTTATTTGTATATTTCTGGTTCACTACCTATCTTAATAGCTGTCCAAATGTTTGCAAAATAGGAAATGTTAATATTTCTGATATTTGACGACAATGAAAGGTTTGCTTATACTTCATAGTGCAGCAGCGATACCGAGGGTGTCTAAGTTTGCCTTTGTGTTTCTTCTAGGCTCTGTTTTTGATTTTAGACAGATGAGCCAGTGTTAAGGTGCTACTTCAGAGAATAAATTTAAGAGATCAGATAACACTGTGCCAAGGTATACTTTTTAGATGCTAAGCACCGATTAGCCCTCCAGAGAATAATATAATATCCCTTTGATACCTCATTCCTGATAAATCTCATTCATTAACCTCAGCTTCTCAGGAATCCTTGTAACTCAGATGCTAGAAATAGCTGTAGTGTATGGTATCCTTTTTATGTCCAGTCCTATGGTTTGGTCCAAAGGTGGCTAATTGTGACTAGAGCTGTCTGCTAGACTACAGGCTCAGCACCTTGATACTCAGAGTTAGTTGTGTTGAGGCAAAGGGAAATGTTCTTTCTGCCATTGGCAATTCAGCAGTTGGGCACACTTAACCAACCCATAAAGCCTGTCTAGGGAGGTCTTCGTTAGCCTCAAATGGCCATATACCTCAATGGGAAAAGACTAGCTAATCTGTGATTTTAAAATGATGAATTGAGACTATTTTGGTATTAAAATAGAAAATGTCCCGACACAACAGAAGGAATTACAAATGAACGCCGATTAATACTTCAGGAGAGCTAGGATTTCTATAGGTTTGTAAAGTCTTAACTGCTATATTTTGAATCTTCAGCAGTTCATGATTGATTAGTTAAACCGCTGGAGGGGAGAAGCAGGGCATGGAAAATAATGGCCGCTTTCAAGATCATTTCTACATGGATACTTGTTCAGATGCTCTTCTCTTTCTCTGCTTCCAGTGTCCTTCTGGCTCAGCCGTGGAGTAGAGGTGGGATAATCCACAGAACAGGTGCCTTCTGGTGAATAATCTAATGTTGATGATACCTTGGAGTTGTTAACTGGCAGATCAAATAATTTGTGGATTGAACTGCTTGGTACCAGAGGGTGAATCTGAACCCCTTACGTGAAGAGCAGAGCACAGTATGAATTTCTTTAGAAAGTCTTCAATTCTGTTTGAACATGAGAATGATAATAAAAATAAATAGGGTGTGGTCTGAAGCTGAGATGTCATCTTCAACCAAGACCTTTTTAAACCTGTTCAGGTGTGGGGGGAGCAAATGTTTTTAAAACCTTCACGTGTAATAGACTCCATCATGGAAAGTAATCATTGCTGTTATGTTTTAAGTATTGCAATCAACTTACCCTTTTGATTCTTAATCTTAGTTTGTTTTATTAGGTGATGAGTAGGAAAGTGTACTTGTTATTCTACAGTATCCTTGTTTTTTTTAATAAACCATAGAGTGCAATTTATGAAGTTGAGTTTTTAATGATAGTGAAGACAATTTTGAGACTTTGAAATGGCCAGTGTGTTTTTTATTATCACAGTACTTAAGTCTGACCACCTTGTACTGTGAGGGGTGAGTTTATTTACACTGGATCAGAGCCAAATACAGGCCACCTCTCAGTTCAGAGAAAGCAGGAGTGCATCTTCCATGATGGTGCATAGAGTAGTGAGCTTTTTTTTTTTTTGAAAGATTTATTTATGTATACAGAGTTGGGGTACAGGCGAGAGGTGCAGGGGCAGTGAGAGAATTCACCAGAGACAGAGTAGGGAGCACAACAGGCAGATCAATGATGTACACTGCTGAGGGGAGCAGTGGGCAGGTCAGGAGAGGTCTGCCGCACCATGTGGGTCAGCTCCAGACCTGGGATTGAACTCATTGAACTCGCACTGGAGCACCTGCGGCTAGCTTGCAGTGCTGCGCTTTAACCCGTTGCACCACCAGGGAGGGCCAGAGTAGAGTGAGCTCTTGAAGACCCTGAGAAAAGTTAGGAATTTAGAAAGTAAACTGGAGGTAGCATATTGAGTCCTTACAACAAAAGATAGATATCTCAGTATGCGATCTCAACTTGTACCCTAAAACCTTGATTTTTTTTTTAAAAATCACCTCGGGGATTGTGTGGACCCTTGTTGAAGAAGGAACTGAAAGGCATAGTTATGGAAAATCCCTAGTAGAAAAATCTAAGTTCAACTGCTATGGTAGAAGGAAGGTCTTGCTCCCTCCGATCCACCTGGCATTTAGTAACTGCTGATCCTGAGCCTCGAGGGGAGAAAAAGTCAAGTAATTGCTCACAGTTCAGACTTTTCAGGCACATGAGGGGCTCAGAGCAGCACGGGGCTGAGGCGAGGTTTACTTTTTTCGAGACAGCTGGCCCAGGGCAGGACTTATGCTCATGAAAAAGGGAGACATAAATGTTAGGTTGATCGCCTTAAATTCTGATAAAGAAATCTCTCTTAAAAGTCTATGCGTTTAGTCTCCCTAATGTTTGCTTACTGGATACTAGAAAGAATAAGGTGAGGACTTCTCAGATTAGAACTCAAGGAGCTGTGCAGTTTTGAAGTCTGGTCAATGAACTGGACACACATTGCCTGCTCACCCTGCTGCCCCAGTTTTGGTTGTTTGCTCCAAAGAGAGATGTTCTTGGAATAGCAGGAGTTAGCGACTTCCAGTTACTCCCCAGATGTTTCCTGGCTAGTCTCATATTTAAACATCTGAATCTGGGCAAAGTTTTAAAGTGATGTAGGGAATAAAAAACTTGTTTCCACTCTGTAGACTGATTTTTGCCAAATCACCCAAGAAAGTATTTGATGTGCAGAGTCTGTGTGTCTTGGCGTGAAGCTGCAAATTGCCCAGCCCAGCCCCATAGTCATAAATTCCTAGCTTAAGTTCTTCCCAAAGGGTCTTCAGCCTCAGCAAGCTCACTCATGGAATGAATGCCTTGCCCTAAGTTTGGCCTTTTGTAGGGAGAAATTAGTATAAACATGAACCATCTCTGCCTCCCCTCTTCTCTCTCCCCCCTTTTTTTCTCAGTCCTGCCCCATGCCCTAAATTCAAACTGTTGTCAGTTGTTTCAAGCATTTTGTTTTGATCGTGGACTTTAGAAAAGGAAGGTCATTCTGAGAATAGAGAGTGGAAGGCGCTCAGAGTGGACAAGGCCAGGGCAGCTTGGCCCCACCACAGCAGTGGAAGCCAACAAATAAGATCTGTTTGCTCTCTGTGGTGCCGCCCAAGAGCACGCACACAGTGGTCCCAGTCAAGCTTCCCATCTCGGCCTGACTGACGCTTGGGAGGATAAATTCTTTGGTGTTAGGAAGGAGGGGCCTTCCTCTGTACTGAGAGTGCATACCTGGTGTCGGGGCTTTAGCAAGTCAAGGCGGACATACGAAGTTTTCCTTACTAAGCCTTATTATCTACTAGTCCAAGTCTTTTGAAAGCTAGAGGCAGTCTAAGATAGATATGGTGAGTGAAATGTCACTTGGCAAAATGAGGACAAAGGATTCGCCTGAGGTGGCTTTTCAGTGTGGGAATGTTCAGTCTCATTATCATATCAAGTGTACCTCAAAATATATGGTCCTTTAAGAGTGCTCTTTTTCCTCTATTTCACTTTATTCCTTCTTCCTCCTTTGCCTCCTGTCATCCTACTTTTTATTACTCAGCGTTTTTTTATATATATAAGTATTTACATTTTTATGATAGATTTGGTCCTTTGGGACCATGTCATAATTAAGAATTAATTTCATGTAGACAAAAATGATGTTTAATATTGTATTCTTTTAAACCACCTTCTGAAGCTTTGCTGCTAACCAGATACAGGCCAGAAAGAAGTTGGGGCTGACAGACTGCACCCTGGTCATGTCACCTAAGGTGACATTAATGTTATGATGGTGACTCTCATTTGACCCGAGTCAGCCTCCTGCTCTTACCTCTATCCACTTGTTTCTGGCTATGGGAAATATACCACCCCCTGGGTGAGCCAGTGAGATCAGGCAGATCTGAAGGGGTGGGTTCCAGCCTATGGCCCACCTTACGAATAACCCTGCAATGTCCCACTTGATTTGTAGGGCCAGCTCCAACTTCAGTAGCCAAAGAAAACCTGTCTGACTCTACATTTTAGTTCCTGAGAGCTGGTGAGAGTTCAGCTAAAGCTAATGTATAGCCAGCAGCAGTAGCTAGGCATCCAGAAGCTAGTGTCAACCAAAGCTAAAGTTGTCTGAGTTTCCACAGGAAGCTTGGTGCTGAGCTGTTCCGAGTAATTGTCAATCTGAGTGTTCCCAGTCTGGTAGTCACACTTTCTTAGCTTTATTCTGGTTTTTAGAGATGTTGGTCCCTGTTTCTAGATGCAGCCTGTACCCAGCTGTGGCTCACCGCTCACTCCATGAGTCCCTGGTCATGCATAGCAACGTAGTCTAACAAGGAAGACAAGCTAGGGAGTTAAGGGACCTGGTTTCTAATCCCTGTGCTTCTACTAACTCGCCTCGAGATCTTAACCGCTCTGTGCCTCAGTGTTCCCATCTGCAAAATGGGGATAGTGTTAATTGCCCTACCTACCTCACAGGGTTGTTGTGAGGATAAACTGAGACAATGAAAGTATTTTGTCAAGTAAGTGCTATGCAAATTGTAAGAAATGGAAATAATGATGTTAAAGGCAATGGGATGGACATTGGCAGAAGACTTAATGGGATTGTCCAGCCCTCTCTCTGTGTGGCTTAAACCCAGGTTGCCATTGCTTTATACATTTTCACTTAGCACAGATTTGTAATTATGCATGTAATAAAGCACAGCGTTATCCATCCTGGTTTCTGGTGTGTTTCTAAAGACCTAAATGTGTAGCTTCTGTTATCTGATCATAAAAGCAAAAGTGCAGGGTAAGAGGCCGCTGTGAGCCCCTTCTAGCAGGCTGACGTCCTTGAAAGATTTATTACATACTTCATTAGTTCTACATTTACAGAAACAGTACTACTTTCTACCAGAAGGAGAGAAATTAAGGGGCAGCTTGGGTTTTCTGAGCGATTCCAGATACCTCATTCACAGTGTCTACTTCAGTGTTCCGGGCTCAGACATTAGCGATACTCTCCTGATGACCCGAGAAATAACTAATTGGGAGCTGTATTTTTTCCCTCTTTTTTGGAGTCTTTAATGATGGGAAAGTATGGGCTTTGACAGGCTGTCTGTCTGCTTCTTTCAAGTAGCTGGAATAGGCTGGGTGATTGAAAGTTACCTCCAACGAGGAGTAAGTTTCTTAGTACTCTTATTGTGTGTTGAGATTCAAATGTCTTCTTGGGAAGCCCCTGAAATTACTGGAGAATAAATTTAGGGAGTGGAAGGTTTCAGAGAGGTGGTTGCCTATGCAAGCATGTCACTTTTGCCATCTCTGGAACAGTAAACAAGGACTGCTGGATTCACTTTGTAAGACTTTCCAATGCCTCACTCTCTTCCTATATCCGATCCTCTTTACCGGCCTGTACATCTCCCTGCTAGCCCGACCACCGCAAAACCAATCTACCGCGTTCAAGTTTCCCTTTAAGAATTTCTCATGCCATTTGAAGCAACTTGGATGGAGCTGGGAGGGATTATGCTAAACGAAGGAGAAAGAAATACTGGGCGCTTTCACCAATAGGCGGACTGGAGAAACCTAAGGAAGGGTCAGGGAAAAGACACAGCTGGCATGCTGAGCATAGATCTGAGGCATTCAGCATGGGAGGGGTGGGGTGTTCAAACCGGAGGGAAGAGCACAGGAAGCTGTGGTGAGGGTCATGGATACTATGGCAGGCCAACTATAGAGACCACCCCTGGAAGAAGTCAAATACTGTCAAAAAATGAGCAAGGATGTACAAAAATAAATTTAATAAGGAATTTCTCCAGCTGATGTTTAATCACACCTGCACTGGTCTTGATTTGATATCTTATTGCAATAGGGAACATTAATGTCTTTCAATGCTACTTTATACCATCACAGGAAGGACACTTGTATGTAAAAAAACAAACAAAACAAACTCTTCCATTAACCTGAAACACCACAAGAAATTTCAGTGTTTGTTGTTATCACTTTTATCACTTTACTGGGTTCTTTCTACACAGCCACTGTGTAGAGACTGCCTCTAACCGGGATACCCTTTGAGAAAAGATGTGGTTACTAGCTATCGCCAACTTCTGCGAATTGAGTTTCACATCTAGCCACTCTAGGGCTCTGATAAAAGTGACCTTGATGGAATATGAAGTAAATAAAAACCCTGGGAATGGCCACCAGATGTCAGTGCAATCATTAAAATAGTGCTGCAGCTAAGGTTTGCTCAGAAGACAAGTGTGTGTGAAGGTAGGCAGAAAGAAGCCTTACTTCATACCCGTGGCTACGTGGCCAGATGATGGGCCTAGAGAATACAGTTGCACATCTGTTAGTTTATCAGACATTCTCTTTGTATTATACATAATAAGCTTTACTTTTTAAAAAAATATTTAATATATTTAGGCATACTGGGGTCTAGGCCAGAGGTGTAGGGGTGAGAGGACTCACCATAGACAGGAGCAGAACAGGCAGATCTACTGAAGTACACTGCTGAGGGGAGCAGTGGGTGAAACAGGAGAGGTCTGCTGTGCCATGTGGGTCACCTCCCTGGCTTGGGATAGAACTCAGAGCTTAGTGGTGATAGCACTGAGACTTACACCCCTAGGACACCAGAGAGGCTCCTCCTTTCGTTTTTAATCAATCGTTTGGCAGTTGCTGCCTGTAA